CTGTTCTACTTTCCGCGTCTGTGGATTTGCCTCTTCTGAACATTTCATGTAAATGGAACCCTATAATAGGCACTCTTTTGTGTGTGGCTTCTTTCACCCAACATGAAGTTTTTGAGATTCATGTTTATCTGCTGATTCTATCAGTGATTCGTTTTTATTACTGAAGAGTTTCATCGTAGGGATTTATCACATTTTGTTTCTGTACCAGTGGTGGACATTTTATTGGTTTCTAGTATTTGGCTATCATGAATTATGCTGCTATGCTTGCAAGACTTTTAAAATTTTTCTCTTGAGTTAGGTAGATATCTAGCTGTTGAATTGTTGGGACATATGGTAAGATTATGTGGAAACATTTTTGTTTTACATGCCCGTCACTATCTCCACATCGTCACCAACACTTGGTATAGTCGGTCCTTTTTTATTATAGCTAGGAAATCATTTGTTGGCAATGGAAAATGGAACCCCTATGAACTTCACTTTTGAAGAAGGGATGGTATTTCTTGCCTCCCCATATCTTACAGGATTGCTCTGAAGATCAAAGGAGATGGAAATTTATGTGAAAGGGCTTTTTAGTGTTAAACTGTTACTGGTGAGTATGTGCAGAAAAGTATTTAGCTGTTAAATTTAACACATATCTGTCTCAGAGATTAAGATGAAAACTTGCTCAAGTGTTAATAAAATGTGTATGTTATGGTTGAACTTGTTCTACCTTCTTATAAAGGCATATTTTACTCAAGTTGTGAGCTCCCTCCATATGCCTGCATTGTACATTAAATTATCAGCCTTATTTCACCATGACAGGATATAATGGTTTGCATATGCTGGGCAGTTTTTTCTTTCCCACTCAAAGTTGGATGGTCTGGTAAATGTCTGCTTGTGACTTCATTTTCAAATACCTGTGGGTGGCCTCTTTTCTGGACCTGGGCATATGTGTTCTATTCCAATGGAATGGAAGGAGAAAGTCTGGGGACTCAGAGAAACGACCAGGAAACAGTTTATCTATGTAAAAACAGGCATTGCAACGGTTTTACTTTGCAATTCTGATTCTATGAAAATTGCCAGTTTGAACTTTTTCAAAGAACAAAGGGAGTTTTGAATGCATTTTCCTCCCTACCTGTGGAAGCCAGCTGCCACAGGTCTAGGGGAACTGGCCTGGGGGCCCTAAATTTGCTATTTGGGGCTGTATTTCATAAAACTTGCTTATCAGCCGCTCTTCACACCTGTTGAGAAAGACCTTTGGACTAAGGAAGTTGAACTGTGTGTTTGACCATATACCACTGTGTCCATAAAAGGCTTGAAGGCGCTTCAAGTGAAAAGGTAAACAGAAACAACAAAACTCAAGTAAAAGAAGCTGCGTGCCATATATAGTTTCTGGGAGTTTATAGTTCTGGGGGTTTATATTAATCCTGGTGACAATTTATATTAATTCAGTAATGCTTCCTAATAAAAACCTTAATTTATTCTTACTGAATAGACAGTTTTAATAATTGGGAAATGTGCACATGAAATCCTTTTCTGATAAAAATGATGCAGGTGATGGTCATAGCAGCAGTGCTTTGGACCCAGGATCTGGGATGGTGGTTCATTAAATTAGTATTTCATGATTTTACCTACTGAGCAAAAGTTCTCACCTTACATGACTTCGAAAATTTCTATTTCAGGGGTGGGCAACCCCTGGCACACATGCCAAACATGGCACGCCAGGAACTTTTGCTGGCACGCGAAACCCTCTCTTATAATCTTCCATTTACAATTTTTTTCTTAATATCGACTTTTTTATTTTTCAGATAAATTCAGTGTAGGTGCATCTTAGATAAATAAATAATTTTACATAACATGTATACATTAAAAAATAAATGTATTTGTCATCATCATATACTGTGTTTTTGTTCGAACTTTATTATTTCTTCAAGGTTCTTCACATACATACACCTCAAGAGATATCAAGCAGGCGTAACATGTTCTCAAAAAATTAGCGTTGGCACACAGAAGAATTTTGAGTCAGAGATTTTGCTGGTTTTGGCACGCACTCACAAAAAGGTTGCCCACCCCTGTTCTATTTGAATATGGGTACACGCATGTGTGTGCACAAGTGTGCTCACATGTGTGTATTTCAAAGCTTTCAAATGTTGCAGTCTCCAAAGTGTGAATTAAAAAGAAGGTGCAAAAAGTAGTTGAGGCCCTCGGAAATCCTTTTCTTGAGCATCTATAATAATAAAGGCGTAATATGCTAATTAGACCGGACTACCTTCTGGATGAAGCCAGGGCTGCCAGGGAAGCCTGGGTCTCGGGTGCCAGAGGTAAGCCGGTGCCGGCAGCAGGGGAAGGAAGGCCTACCCTTGCATGATTTTCATGCATTGGGCCTTTAGTTACTAATAACATGGTTTGTTATGGAATGATATTTGAGGGGTCTTAGAGGAGGCCCGAAGTAAATGTTCTTTTTGGAAGCAGCTGTTTGCTAATCAAGAATCAGAACTGTCAGGTGGTTGGTTCTCATTGTTTCTGGGTGTTACCAGCATCTCAGCCTGCGTTGGGCATCAGAGGTACATGACCCACTCCTGTGGAGATAAGAACGCACCGCTGCTGGTGTTATGCATGTTCTTTAAATAAGCAGACTTTAGGACTTATAGAGAAACCACTCATATTCATTTCTGATGATCTTTTCCACCTTGATCGTGGAGGATTTCAACCCCTCTTTGGAGGGGTGGTGAAGGAAGGATGCGGTTAATTTAAAATTCCCTTAATAATGAGAAATGGGGTGCCCATGGGAGGGCCTTGTGTGGGGCTGTCATAGGGGATACTAGGAAAGTTGCAGAACTCACACAGGGAAAATCATGTGAGCCAGTGCCCTTTCAACTTGAGGCCTCAACCACCTTGATGTTCTTGGAAATGCTTGTAGAATCTCATGCACATGTGGCCCCCGCCTCTGGGTCCCCCTGCTTCCAGGGACCCTGGGTCCACTTAGCTGGCCCCAGATGCTTTCATCCAACTCAAGGTGACTTACTGGATCCTGAGTGACAGTGGTGTAAAGGCAAACATTTTGGGTCCTGGCTGGTTATTGATGGCACCGAGGGAATAACTTAAATTGAAATTTTATATCTTCTTAAAATTTTCCTCATGGGGTGGGGCGGGGAGAGAGAGAGATTGAAAGTGATTATATGTGATAACTGGCCACTTAAAGGGGCCTTTGTTTTATACTTTAATTATTGACTAATCCATTAATGCATTTGATTTATTTATGAGTTATTTTAAGGAGATAGAGTCGGTGTGATGTGTGGGAAGAGCCTGGGGTTAGGAATTGGAGAGATTTGAGACCTGGCTGGGTCACTCACTGTGACATCAGGCAAGAAGTTAGGCTCTGAGCTTCCGTTTTTTCCCAGGGAGGGGATTCCTGTCTTTCTGAGGATTAGTATTAGATATAGAGTGTCATTGAGCACATGACCAGGACATCTCATGGGCACTCCGTTACTGCAAGCTACTGTTTTTGCTATTTATAAAGAGCAAAAGTAGCATAAATTCAGTATACTTCTGTATTACTTACTTCCTGCCAACTCTTTGTTAACAGAGCAGTAGTAACCCCTTAAACTGGAAGTTTAACATACCATAGCCAATATATTGTAAATTATAACAGAAATTATGCAGGCCATTGAAATGAGGTTGAAAGTTCTAGAAAAAAGAAGTTGCGTTTAACTGCTATGTCAAGTTATAACTTGGTATATTTTTTTCCAGTTTTGTTTTTGTTGGAGTTAATGAAATGGTTGAGCACAGTAGGAATAATGTAATGAGATACTAACGCTGTCCATCATATGGGTGTACATCATAAAGGCAGTTCTTTATGATTGGAATGACCAGCGAACACCCAGTAATTTCTTCAAACTTCTTTATCACTCCTTCTTGGAAACAAATAGTTTCTATGTTGTGAAATCAAAGGAAGAAAAGCTAAAAATATATTTATTTCATTTGTCCACTTGGGAAATTACAATGGATATGAAATCAATGCCAAAAAAATATTCCCTTCATTAAAACAATGGGATCTGGAAGTTATCTTTTGGACTACCACCCCAGACTGTGGAGTGCATTTGGTGTCTGTTGGAATCCTACCCACATTCCTACCAGTGGATTGGGTTCTGATTTTTACTAAAATGTTAGTCCCTCTCTTGGTGAATTCAGTTGACTCATGGATTTGGTACAAGTAGGGAGTCTGAAGCCCTCCAAGAGGGCACGTACATGGGGGTTGGGCCCAGGACAATGGGAGCCCTCGCAGGTCCCAAAGAGTTCTCAACTTGGGGTGAAGCAGAGTAGTGACCTGGCCAAATTTGTGGTTTCTGGAAGCCAACTGCCTGGGGTTGAGTTCTCTCTCTGTCATGAGATGATGGGCATAAAACTTTACCTCTAGGCCTTTATTTCTCTATCTGTAAAATAGGCGTGATAATAGTTCCTGCCTCAACAGGTGTTTGTTTATAAGTGAAATGAGATAATCCCTATAAGTCAGTTGCACCCAGTAACACAGGGGCTACAATTTTCTCAGCCCCTTCTTCGTTCTCTTTGTCCAAGTGGGCCTCCCTCTCCGTCACACTTCTCTATAGTAAAGCTTGCAGGTGATGCTTTCTGAAGAGTCATTCTTTGCTTGTTTGAGAAGAACATTTGCATTTCAAAAATTTTCTTTTTCTTTTTAAAATATATTTTTATTGATTTCAGAGAGGGAGGGAGAAGGAGCGAGAGATAGAAACATCAACAATGAGAGAGACTCATTGATCGGCTGCCTCCTGCACACCCCACACTGGAGATCGAACCCGCAACCTGGGCATGTGCCCTGGACCAGAATCGAACCCGGGACCTTTCAGTCTGCAGGCCAACACTCTATCCACTGAGCCAAGCCAGCTAGGGCAAAAAAGTTTCTTTTTTAAAGGAATGTCGTAGGCATAGTAATTTTGAGGGTGGTGTTTTGCCACAACATGCAATCCAAACGCATCATTAAATTCTGTTTATTTTGTTTACAGGGAACACGGGTCTGGCTGAGAGAGAATGGCCAGCATTTTCCAAGTACTGTCAATTCCTGTGCAGAGGGCGTCGTCGTCTTCCAGACAGACTATGGTCAGGTGAGCACCGGTCCCTTCGCCCAAGGAATGCGAAGTGCGCACCTCGAGTGTGTGTGAGACGCAGTGACATTCCCCAGTGGAGCACAGGAAGGGTTCCAACCAGGGCGGGACAGGAGAGCCTCCGCTTGGCTCCACTTGGCCGGTCTCCTGCCTGGGGGCTCTTGTCCAAGAATCAGAAGTATGGAATGCAAGCAGCTGGAGGAAAAGTCCGAATATATTGATGTTTGCTCATTGGTTTCCTTACCACTTTCCCTTAAAATTCTTAAACTATTCATAGAGTATCGGAGATACTGGCTGGCCAGTGAGGCGGTAGTGTGGTGGTGCCTGGATTCCTGTAAGAATCCGACTGACTAACCCCCTCGCCTGAGCTACCTATCCGCCTTGTTAAGCAGCTGCACAAGTTCCTTCTGTGTGTGGGATCCCACTGCTCCTGGTTCTCCATTTTTGTGTGTAAAACAAATGAGAAGCCCCATCATTGAAAACCGAAATACAATGTGAATCCAGAAACTGGCTCATTGATTGTACAGCTGACTCTTGAACAACACAGGTTTGAACTGTGCAGGCCTGCTTATGCATGGATTTTTCTTCTTCTTTTTTTTTTTAAGTACATTTTTATTGATTTCAGAGAGGAAGGGAGAGAGAGATAGAAACATCAATGATGAGAATAATTGACCAGCTGCCTCCTGCATGCCCCTTACTGGGGATTGAGTCTGCAACCCAGGCATGTGGCCTGACCAGGAATTGAACTGTGACCTCCTGGTTCATAGGTCAGTGCTCAACCATTGAGCCACGCCAGCCAGCCCTGGATTTTTTGTTTTTTCTCCCCAAAGAGATGTTGTAAATGTGTTTTATCTTCCTTATAACTTTCTTATCGTTTTCTTTTCTCTAGCTTACTTTATTGTAAGAATACAGTATATAATGTATATAAATATACAAAATGTATGTTAATCGACTGTTCATGTTATTGGCGAGACTTCTGGTCAAAAGTAGGCTATTAGTAAAGTTTTGGGAGAGTCAAAAGTTATACGCAAATTTTCGACTGTGCAGGGGGATAGGTGCCCATAACATGTTGTTCATCAACTATATCTGAGTCATTGTGAAAGGAGCCCAGTTTCTCCATTTTTATAAAGAAAATTAATTTTAATATTACAAATGGGTCCCTCCCTCAGAGGCACACATCAGAATTTAAGACATCAAGAAATAAAAGGATGTCCTATACCAGTATTTAAAACTCAGAGTTTCTGAATGTCATTTGTAAGTCGTGCTGAGCATGAAAGCTGCAAGCTCAGTGCTGTGTAGCTTGAGGCAGGCGAGCTACTGGGCGCTCTCTGCCTCTTAGCCCAGCTGGTCCCTGGGGTGGCACCTTTCTCATTTCTCGGCTTCATGAGGAGTGATTTTACTGGGCTGTTTTGTAGTTCCTCAGATGCTTTTTCATCTGAGTCTTGAATGGCTCTTCGGAATTCATCTGGTGGTGTGAGGATGCAGCTGTGTTTTATGGACGTAGATTGGGGGGTGGCATAGGGAGAAGGTGGCAGGGGGTTACATGTTTACCAGCCCTCGCAGGTGTGGTCGCTGCACTGGTGCCCAATCTGGTTCCTTTCCCATCGGGTTGTCAGGTCGTGTTGTGTGATCCATAAACCGACTAAATGACTTCTGCTGAACTTCAGGGTGGGGTGCCGCTGTGATGCTGAAGTTCCCGTGCAGGCTTGGTCAGCATTTTTCTGTCTTTCCTTGACTTCTGCCTTTTTCTTTCTCACTGGCCCCACGAATTCAGTCCCTTTCAGGCCCTGCACATACTTCTCAAATGCAATAAAAAAGGAAACAATACTTACTCAGCGTACCAGTTTGGCGTAAGTATTCCTAAAAGATTTATAATGCAGTTATTTTTTGTTGTTGTTGACTTTTCTTTTAATCCCAAAGATAATGTTGTAAACCTTTTTTCCCTTTTTGAAAAAAAAATGGTAAAAATCCACACAATATTAAATTTACTGCCTTAAGCACTTTATCGTGCAGTTCTGGAGTGTTAAGTACATTCACAGGCTGTGCAACAGGGCTCTAGGCCTCTTTCGTCTCGCAATACGGAAACTATACCCACCAAACACGGGTTCCCCATCTCTCCTCCCCCAGCCCTTGTAACCCCCTTTCTACTTTCTGTCTCTGTCCTTTGCCTGCTTCACATACTTCATATGGGTGGAATCATACAATATTTGCCATTTTTTTGTGACTGGCTTATTTTGCTTTACTGTCCTCAAGGTTCTAAGACACTTTCTGTTCTTATTTGCGCTTTGCTTAGTGAATGGAGGCTTCTAACATGGCAACTTCAGCAGCATTTTAGTGCTACTGCCTGTGACACGTGGTCAGCCATCTGTGTCACAGCCCATGGACAGCTCTCGGGGAGGGTGGAAGTGGAATGGGATGGTCAGGGAGTAGTTCTGTTCACTCTTGACAGTATTTATGGATTGTGGGTTTAGAAAGAACGAAGCCAGAATAACGTGTACTTAAATATGAAAACAACTCTCAACGTGGACTTCTGATCTTCAATCGGTCTTCAAATACTTGGTCTTAATGTTGTCTACTCTGTCATTCCAAAGTCTAACAAGTATAATTAGCTTGGTGATTTGTGTAGGAATTGCAGGGTTTAAAATATGAGAAAAGTGAGATGAGATTGAAAGAATTGGGCTCAGACTAGGATCAAGAACTGGCAGTGGCCAAAAGACTCTAGTTTCTTTCTTTCTTGACCTACAAGTTCACTGTAGGGCGTACAGGCGTGGTCACCGAGGAGGAGGAGAAGTTCATTAACTGGTCCTGGTGCCCAGGAACATCTGCTTTTTAACTCGCTGGGATAAATTCTTTTTTAAAAAAATCTTTGTTGTTGAAAGTATTACATATATCCTCCCTTTCCCCCCATTGACCCCTTTTAGCCTGCCCCCGACCCTGCCCCATCCAGGCCTTCACCACCCTATTATCTGTATGCCTGGGTTATGTATAGATGCATGCAAGGTCTTTGGTTGATCTCTTCCTACCCACCCACCCACCCACTCACCCTCACCTTCCCTCTGAGATTCACCAGTCTGTTCAATGCTTCTATGCTCTGGACCTGTTTTGTTGAACAGTTTATTTTGGGATAAATTCTTGAAGGAATCTGGTCCAAGGTGCAGAACATGGCCTTGTCCCAGTCAAGCCCCGTGTCTAGTAATTTTCCAAGGCATTGGCTAATTTCAACCCAATTTGGTATGTTATAAAAGGGTGTTAAGGAATTGTTGTTTCTGACCTAGCCAATGTGGCTCAGTTAGTTGGGCATCCTCCGGTGCACCAAAAGGTTGCTGGTTTAATTGCCAGTCAGGGCAGTGCCTGGGTTGCAGGCTCAATCACTGGTAGGGGGTGTGCAGAAGGCAGCTGATTGATATTCAGCTCTCACATCGCTGTTTCTCTCTCTCCCCCTAAAAAATAAAATCAATAAATTATTTTAGAAAAGAAAAGAAATTGTTGTTTCTGGGGGAGAGAGGGGAACGGGGATTTATTGTTGAATGAGTACAGTTTCAGTTTGGGAAGATGGAAAGGTTGTGAAGATGGATGGTGGTGTTGGTTACACACCTGTGTGAATGGATTTAATGCCACTGAACTGTATGCTTCATGGTCAAGATGTAACTTTTATATTCGTATGTGTATTTTAGTGCACACACACACAAAAGATAGTAATGTTTGAAGTCAGATGGTAACTGGTAAAACATGCCAATGGGTATTTTTCTATATCTTTAAAAATACTTCTGATGAAATTTTAATGTTGCCAAAATATGACTTCTCAGAAACATAGACGGCTTGAAAAACGAATTACTCTTTGGCTCAGAGCAGTGCACCTCAAACTTTATTATCCACGAATCATATGGGGGTCTCCTTCCAATGCCAGTTCTGATCGGCTGGTCTGGGGTGGAGCCTGAGGGTCTTGCATTTCTCACAAGCTCCTTGGTGACTTGATGCTGCTGGTTCTTGAGCCCCAGTTGAGGAGTGAGGATTTAGAAGTCATTCCTGGAAGTCACCTTAGGGTCATGGTTACGGCAGGGAAGTCTCTCCGACCTCTTCCATCCGTCACCTTGGAGGACACAGCGATAAAGATGAGGTGGAGGACTTTGTGGAGAAAGCTGGAAAATATTTCTTTGGTCTTTCAAGGCTTTTCTTTTCTTGGTGTCCTCTCTTCCAACAACCATTTTACCTTGAGCGTGGCCAGGGGTGGTGCTGACTGCAGCATAATAATCCTCAAGTAGATGAAAAAGCAGTTTTTAAAAGTTCTATTTAGTGTTAGACCAAGGAGAGCCTTGTGTAACTAAAATCCTACAATGGAACCCCGGCAACCCTGGGAGGTAGTAGGCGATAGTGTGGCAGCACAAAAGGGCATGCTTTCTTATTTCCTTCAGTCTCTGAGAATTTTGCACACTCATGCAAGCTGTTCCTTTTTGGCAAGGGAGATGGTTTTAAGGTCACTTAAAATTCTATTCCACGCGAAAATCTTAATTGCTGTTGATTGGTCCTCGGAATACAGAGGACCGAAATACTCCCCTTGGACTCATAACTTAGGCTACACTCACCAGCAGGTATTTGCAGAAGAAAAAAGAAATGTGCAAGTGACAAGCTAACATACTTGGTTGAAAAATATGCATAGCTGTGTCCTCGGGAGGATGCAGTACACGGGCAAGTCAGCACGTGTTCTGAAATGTCAAAATTACTAGCTTATCGTCCTAGATAACAAGCTTTGGCCAGAGATTTAGAAGAGGCAAATTAAAAGGCACCACAATTCTGCAGGGTGCGGATGTGACCGAGCGCTCAGCTCCTGTCCAGTGCTGTCTTCCAGTCTTACCCTTGCTGATGTGAGGATGTCTTTTCTGGAACATTCACGAGGCACATGGGTGATCACGATAGCACCCTTTATGCACAGTGTAGAATTGAGTAATAAATTCTAAATTAGATTTTTTCACTTTGAGAGTGAACTGTTATCTCTGATTGCT